TATCAACTAAACATCCAGAAACCACATGGCCTGACAATCCCATGTCTGGGATCAGACCCAGAGAAAATCAGAATTCACAGTGACCCGTGCACCCTTGTTTTCAGGGCAGCTCAACTGACAATGGCCAAGAACTAGAATTGTTGCTGGCTAAAGTCTTGGCTTTCTCTGCCCAGTGAAGCCAAATAAAAAATACAGAGACAGAGTTTGAAAGAGATACAAAGGTGGCTTTTATTCTCAAGCCAGCAGAGAGGGGAACACAATAGGGTCATGCCTCAAGGACTGTGCAACCCCACCCCCCGCCCATGAAGAGTCTAGGGGCTTATATAAGGCAAGGGCTCACAGTCAGGTGTCAGTGATGAGGAACAAAGGGGATAGGATCTAGATTTCTTCCTCGTGCATTTTTCCAAAGACAGTCATAGACTGAAGTCAAAAACCCAGTAACTGACTCTGGCAGTTGGGGTGGCTCTGCTGCCTTCTTTCTGACAGGTAAGTACAAGGGGAAGAGTGTTGTAAGGGTAAACACCAGATAGGGCATGTATTTAGCATAGAGTCCAAGGAAAAAATGTTACTTGTAGCTCCTGCAGAGTTAGGGGGCAGAAAAGCAAACTTAGTCACAGACATTCAGAGTTATGAGCAGTTAAAGTAAAAAAAAAAACAAAACTAGGAATGTTCAGGCCGGCTCACTGTTTTATCTCCTTTGTTCTCAAAAAAGGGAAAGAATAAAAAACTCATTCCTCTTTTTTTTCTTTTGCATGTATTCTCAGTCGCTTCAGTCATGTCCAACAGTTTGTGACCCCATGGACTATAGCCTGCCAGGCTCCTCTGTCCATGGGATTCTCCAGGCAAGATTACTGGAGTGGGTTGCCATGCCCTTCTCCAGGGGATCTTCCCCACTCAGGGACTGAACCCATGTCTCCTGCATTGGCAGGTGGATTCTCTACTGGCTGAGCCGCCAGGGAAGCCCTCCCTGCAAAAAATTCAACAAAGTTATTCATCGACAGGAAAATGGAGTCAGAGTGGTGCACCTCTGCACTGGAATACTACCCAGCCCTGAATCAGAATGGAATAATGCCAGTGACAACAGCGTGGATGGATAGAGCCAATACCATACTAAATAAAGGAAGGCGGAGAGAGAAAGACAAATATCAGAAGGTATCACTGACAGGTATCTTCTTGAAATTAATGCAAATGTAGGCTATTGCACAGTAGAAACAGACTCACAAACTTAGAAAACCAACTTATGATTATTTGTAAAAAAGTTAAGGATGTGGGATAAACAAAGAGTTTGCAAGGAACAAACAGACGTTAATATACCTCAAACAGATAATCAGGAAAAAAACTGTTGAAGAGCAAAGGGCAGCCTACTGGAGACACTGTAATTCTCTCTCTGGGGAAAATGAACCCAAAAAAGAATTGATAAATGTCTGTTTATCACTGAATCCAGCTCCTGTACACCTGAAACAAACACAGTATCGGAAATCAACCCTACTTCAAAATAAAAACATCAATGAATGCACAGAAGAAGAAATTTACAGCAGGATCCTCTAGGACCCATCTCCCAGAGTAATGGAAATAAAAGCAAAAATAAACAAATAGGACCTAATTAAACTTAAAAGCTTTTGCACAACGAAGGAAAATACAAGCAAGGTGAAAAGACAGCCTTCAGAATGGGAGAAAATAATAGCAAATGAAGCAATTGATAAAGAATTAATCTCAAAAATATACAAGCAACTCCTGCAGCTCAATTCCAGAAAAATAAATGACCCAATCAAAAAATGGGCCAAAGATCTAAACAGACATTTCTCCAAAGAAGACATACAGATGGCTAACAAACACATGAAAAGATGCTCAACATCACTCATTATCAGAGAAATGCAAATCAAAACCACAATGAGGTAGCATCTCATGCCGGTCAGAGTGGTTGCCATTAAAAAGTCTACAAACAATAAATGCCGGAGAGGGTGCAGGGAAAAGGGAACCCTCTTACACTGTTGGTGAGAATGCAAACTAGTAGAGCCACTATGGAGAACAGTGTGGAGATTCCTTAAAAAAAACTGGAACTAGAGCCGCCATACAACCCAGCAATCCCACTGCTGGGCATACACACCAAGGAAACCAGAATTGAAAGAGACATGCGTACCCCAATGTTCATCACAGCACTGCTTACAATCGCCAGGATATGGCAGCAACCTAGATGTCCATTGGCAGATGAATGGATAAGAAAGCTCTGGTACATATACACAATAGAATATTACTTAGCTATTAAAAATAATGCATTTGAATCAGTTCTAATGAGGTGGATGAAACTGGAGCCTATTATACAGAGTGAAGTAAGTCAAAAAGAAAAACACCAATACAGTATATTAACACATATATATGGAATTTACAAAGATGGTAATGATAACCCTATATGTGAGACAGCAAAAGAGACACAGATGTAAAGAAGAGACTTTTGGACTCTGTGGGAGAAGGTGAGGGAGGGATGATTTGAGAGACTCACATCAAAGCATGTATATTACCATATGTGAAACAGATCACCAGTCCAGGTTCAATGCATGAAACAGGGTGCTCAGGGCTGGTGTTCTGGGATGACCCTGAGAGATGGGATGGGGAGGGAGATGGGAGGAGTGTTCAGGATGGGGAACACATGTACACCCACGGATGATTCATGTCAAAGAATTGCAAAAACGACTACAATATTGTAAAGTAATTAGCCTCCAATTAAGATAAATTAATTCAGAAAAGAAAAGAAATTTACAAGTGGAGTGTGAAGCAAAAGCAATGCTGACTCCTTGTGGCCATTTTTTTAACAGCAACTCTAAAAGCTGTGTTCAGTTCAGTTCAGTTCAGTCGCTCAGTCCTGTCTGACTCTTTACAACCCCATGGACTGCAGCACTCCAGGCCTCCCGGTCCATCACTGACTCCTAGAGTTTACTCAAACTCATGTCCATTGAGTCAGTGATGCAATCCAACCATCTCATCCTCTGTCACCACCCTTGTCCTCCTGATCTCAATCTTTCCCAGCATCATGTATGTATGTGTGTGTTTGTGCACAGGAGGGGCTGGAGGGCTGGGACCACCTGGGGGAAGGGAGGCACCCACCCGGGATCTCCACGTGGAAGTTGAGTCCCTCTGGGTCAGAATACAGAGCCTGAGGGAGCCCCTGGACTGAGGCTCATGGGGACAGTGACAAGCCCATCACGAGTCCTGAGCCGGTGCTGACCCTGTGCTAACCGCTGCCACTGGAGGAGAACACCTGATGACCAAAGTCTTGTGTCCTGTCCCTGCATTGAGGGGGTAGGGCCATGGGCTGGTCAGAGTGGATGGACACTTTGGTAGCCTGGGAAGTGCTTGGGGGACCCGGTGAGTGTTTCAGGGGGCTGGTGAGTTAGGGGAACCCAGCGAGCCTTTCAGGGGGTTGGCGAGTTTGGGGGACCCAGTGTGTGTTTCAGGGGGCCGGTGAGTATCTGGTGGGCCCAGTGAGCATTTCAGGGGGCTGGCGAGTTTGGGGGACACAGTGAGCATTTCAGGGAGTCGGTAAGTATCTGGGGGACCCAGTGAGCATTTCAGGGAGCTGGTGAGTTTGGGGGCCTGAACAAAGGTCTAGGAGCCTGGTATTCATGAAGCCTGCTGACCACTCAGGGGGCTGGGGGAGCAGGACGACAGGACCAGCTATGTGCTGGGTTTGCTGGCCCTGCATTGCTCCATCCATTCATTCACCTGAGAACTATTTCCTGAGCACCTCTGTTTCCATCCCCACCCACAGATGTGCGTGAGGTCGCACGGGGCCTCCTCCAGTGTCTCACTGCGGGCCGGCGGGGGCAGAACCTGACCTCACCGGCACGCGCCCCACCTGCTCACCTGAGGGGCCTGAGAACTCAGAGGGCGCGGCAGACTCACAGGAGGAAAGTGCCATCAGGGTGTGCAGGGGCACCCGGCTTGCTCCCTGGGGTGCTGTCCGAGGCCTCGCGGCTGGGTGGCACTACTACTGAGCACTCCTGAATCTGCACTGGGGAACCAGACAGCTGGGGTTCACAGACAAGGAACAGAGGACAGGTGACCCACACCTACGTTCCTGGGAGATGGGAGCGTGCCTTGCAAGTACATGATTGGTGTCCACAGGCGATGGGACATTATTCCTCCCATCACAGTGAACCCACCACCATCTCAGGCCAGCGCAAATGGGAAGATGAAGCGCGTGTGACACCCTGACCCGGATTCTGATGGAACAGAGGTCCAGGGATGTGGAGACAGGACGGCTCAGGGGTGGGCAGGTGACCTGTGCTAGGTGGAGAGTTGTGGAAAGGACACCCAGGGGGCAAGTGACCTGTATTATGGGGAGGTCTCCTCTGAGATGGAAAGACAGACACACACCCATAGGTGTCCCTAGGATGGTGACACAGGCACACCAAAGGAGGACAAGGCGCACGGACCCCACAAGCGCGACAGCGGCGGGCCCAGAGAGAACACAACATGGCGGTGGGCAGGCCGGACCGAACTACAGCAGTAGCCACGCAAGGGAAGTGAGTTCTCCGCCGAAGGCGGGAAGCGCCGCCCCTCCCCCCGCGGCCGCCGCTCACTTCTCCCCCTCCCTCCCGCGGACGCTCCCGCACACTCACACGCCTCGGCTCAGAAGTCCAGGGAAGAGCAGGAGCCGCCCCCGCGCTCCGGCGGAGTCGGGCAGTGCAGAGGCCTGGGCACGACGGAGGGGAGGGGGAAGCGTGCGTCACGGAGAACGGGGCGCGCGCTAAGCTGGGGTGCAAACAAGATGGCGGCCACACCGTTTACACCGTCTCCCCCCGCTTCCCCTCCCCTTCCCTTGGCGCGTCGGCTCCTGGTGTTTTTAATGCGCAGAAGCTTAGTTGCTTGACGTCTCGCGAGAATTGAGAAGAGGCGACGACTTGGTGAGGCTTGAGCCATCTGACCCCGCCCCCTTTAAAGGATCCAAAGGCACCTGGCCGGGTCCTAGATAGCGTCTTCAGTCTTTGTGGACCTCTGCTATGGTACGCATGCTTTTGAGTTCTAGAATCTAAAGGAATAGATAGTTTTTTGTGGGTGTGTGGTTTTTTTTTTTAATTTAGGAGGTAACAGAGCTGGAGGATGGTGGGCGGCATGGGGAATGCCAGATTAAGTGCGCCGTTAAAGAAGACAGCTGCCAGTACCTTAAAAGGGGATTTAAAACTGTAAAGATATACTTCAAAAGAAAGAACAGCACTTTCCTAGAATGGTCACCTTGTAACTTCACGTCTATATGCACATTGTTTTTGTCACTTGAATGCAGAATTAAAACTTGTTTAAAAACAACTGGGAACTGAACTGTAACCAGAATTCGTTTTCATACTTCACCGCTTTCATCTCCACAACTACTAAGTCCGAAGGCATTAGCATTATTTCTATTTTACTGGTGATGAAGTTGAAGCGCCAAAATGTTAAGTAACTTAATGAAGGCTCCGCAGCTGGTTAGTGGCGAAACTCAGTTTGAATAGTTCCCAAATCTGTATATAAATACATCAAATATACATTGAGTAGAATCATCCACAATGAAACAATGTGCACTAGGTTGCAAGCACAAATAAGACTGCTTTTGCTGGTGGTTACCTTGAAGTTTACAAATGACTTTTCTGAGATTTGTTTTGCAGAGGTCCTCAACAGTAAAATCAATACACTATTATTATTTCCTTCCTTTGAGTTTATTACCCTGGTGATAAAGTTGTTGAGAATAGTGAAATATAAACCCTTGACTTGAATTCAGGAAAATTGTTCTCAAATCCAGCCTTAATAAATCTCACTTCATGCACTCAAAAAATATTTGATGAATAAATAAAACTTAACTAGTCACAAGACTCTTGAAAAAAAAAAAAAGACACACCAAAGGAGCCCTACGTGGCGGGGCACACACATCCACAGGGGCTCCCCATGGTGCGGTGCCTGGGGTTCTGACATACTGTTTTGCTGTGTGTTCTATTTGCATCTCGTTGACTATTCGGATTAGAGAAGAGACTTCATTCTGAAGGGTTATTGTGAAGAGGAAAGGGGACTATTACAGGAGGATGAGTTCTTCAGGGAGAAGGACTATTCTAGAGAGGGGCTGATTACATAGAGGTAGGACTTTATTTGTACAAGGGGCAACATTACTGTAGAGAGCTGACTAATATGATAGAGGGGAGATCCAACAATAAATGGGGCTATGACCATGTAGGGGGATGTCACTGTGGAGAAAGTGAAAGTTGATCAGTCGTGTCTGACTCTAGACAGGCCATGGAATTCTCCAGGCCAGAATACTGGAGTGGGTAACCTTCCCCTTCTCCAGGGGATCTTCCCAACCCAGGGACTGAACCCACGTCTCCCACAATGCAGGCGGATTCTTTTCCAGCTGAGCCACCAGGGAAGCCCTACTGTGGAGAGGGGATTCATAATCAAGGAGGACCCTTACTGTAGTGGGGACTATTACTGTGGAGGGGGGAAAGTTATAATAGGACGACTCTGATACCATGGGGGCTGTTACAGTATGGGAGGGACTATGACAGTACAGAGAACTGTTACAATAAAGGGAACTATTACAGTAGAGGGGGACCATTCTGTGAGGGTGCTATAACAGAAGAGGCAGAACTATTTATGGAGGGAAGAGTCTTACCATAGAGGGGGCTATTACAATAGAGGAAGACTCTCTTTGTTGAGAGAGGACTACTATAGTATATGTGAGACTATTATAGTAGAGGGTGGTCTATCATTGTAGAGTGGGGACTGTTACTGAAAAGAGGGGGCTACGACAAAGAGAGAGGGCCTATTATAATAGATGAGGATGATTACCTTAGAGGGGACTATTATAATGAATGGGGGCCTACTACTGCAGACAGGAAGTATTACAATTGAAAGGGACTACTGAAATTGAGGAAGACTGTTACTATAGAGGGGGGACTATTATGATAGAGAAGGGACTACTAATATAGAGTAGGGACAGCAGAAGGGGACTATTAGTGTAGAGGGGAAACTATGACAACAGAGGCAGGACTGTTATAGTAGAAGGGGGACTTTGACTGTGGAAGGGGAACAGTGACAACAGAGGGAGATTATTAGATGAGAGACTATTACCACAGAGACAGACTTATTACAATATGGAGTGGACTATGACAGCAGATGGGGACGCTTACTGTAGAGGGAGATTATAGCAACGGAGGACTTTTACTCTAGAAGGGGGATATTAGATGCAGACTATTATAATTTAAGGGGGCTAAAAATAGGAAAAGGAGTACGTCAAGGCTGTATATTGTCACCCTGCTTATTTAACTTATATGCAGAGTACATCATGAGAAACGCTGGGCTGGAAGAAGCACAAGCTGGAATCAAGACTGCCGGAAGAAATATCAATAACCTCAGATATGCAGATGACACCACCCTTATGGCAGAAAGTGAAGAGGAACTAAAAAGCCTCTTGATGAAAGTGAAAGAGGAGAGTGAAAAGTTGGCTTAAAGCTCAACATTCAGAAAACTAAGATCATGGCATCTGGTCCCATTACCTCATGGGAAATAGATGGGGAGATGGTGGAAACAGTGTCAGACTTTATTTTGGGGGGCTCCAAAATCACTGCAGATGGTGACTGCAGCCATGAAATTAAAAGACGCTTACTCCTTGGAAGGAAAGTTATGACCAACCTAGATAGCATATTAAAAAAGCAGAGACATTACTTTGCCAACAAAGGTCTGTCTGGTCAAGGCTATGGTTTTTCCAGTGGTCATGTATGGATGTGAGAGTTGGATTGTGAAGAAAGCTGAGTGCTGAAGAATTGATGCTTTTCAACTGTGGTGTTGGAGAAGACTCTTGAGAGTCCCTTGGACTGCAAGGAGATCCAACCACTCCATCCTGAAGGAGATAAGTCCTGGGTGTTCATTGGAAGGACTGATGCTGAAGCTGAAACTCCAATACTTTGGCCACCTCATGCGAAGAGCTGACTCGTTGGAAAAGACCCTGATGCTGGGAGGGATTAGGGGCAGGAGGAGAAGGGGACAACAGATGATGAGATGGCTGGATGGCATCAGCGACTCAATGGGCATGAGTTTGAGTAAACTCCAGGAGTTTGTGATGGACAGGGAGGCCTGGCGTGCTGTGATTCATGGGGTCGCAAAGAGTCGGTCATGACTGAGCGACTGAACTGAACTGAACTACAATCAAGGAGGACTATTATTGCAGAGAGGGTGCTATGACAGTACTACTGTAGAAGGGGAACTTTGACAATAGAGGGGGCACTATCACTATACAGCCGGACTATGATATTAGAGGGGGGTTATTTCAGTAGGGGAGAGGTTTTTACTGCAGAGGGGGGACTATGACAACAGAAAGTGAAGTATGACAATAGAGACAGGACTATGAGTGTATGGGGTGGAAGACTATGACAATAAAGGAGAACTATTACTCTATTAGTTCTCTAATAGAGAACTGTTACTCCATAGGGGAAATGGTTACTATGACACTAGAGAGGAGCTAATACTGTAGAAGAAGAACTATTACTATGGGGGGGGCTATGACAATAGAAGGGGAGTAATACAAGCAACCCACTCCAATACTCTTGCCTGGAGAACCCCATGGACGGAGGAGCCTGGTGGACTGCGGTCCATGGGATCGCAAAGAGTCGGACACGACTGAGCAACTTCACTTTCTTTCACTTTTCATTATCACAGAGGGGGGACTCTGACAGTAGAGGAGCACAGTTACTGAAGAAGTGGAATTTTGAGAAAAGAGGGCTACTACTTTAAACACTATGACATTAGTGTTGGTCGTTCAGTCGTGTCCAACTCTTTTCAACTCCATGAACTGACTGCATGGAGCCCGCCAAGCTCCTCTGTCCATGGGATTCTCCAGGCAAGAATACTGGAGTGGGTTGCCATGCTTTTCTCCAACTATGATATTAGAGGGAGCTATTACTATAGAAGGGGAACTATAACTGTAGAGGGGACAGCATGACAATAGAAGGGGAGTATTACTGTAGAGGGGGGACCATGACAACAGAAGGGGACTATTACTGTAGAGGGGGGACTATGACAACAGAAGGGAAGTATTACTATAGAGAGGGGACCTTAAGAATAGATACAAACCCTGTCCGTGGAGAGCAGTAAACACAAAAATAAAGGCCCAGGCGTGTGTTTGCCATGAAAGCAGTCCTGATGGCATGTGGACCACAGGCCCTGACTCAGGAGGAGCTGTGAGGGGAGGCTTCTGCCCAGGCAGGGAAAGTGGCTGCAGTTGGCGCTGGGCAGGCAGAACCAGTGGGTCACAGGCCCATGTTCTGACTGGTCCTGGGAATGACTGGGTCAGCCCTGACTGATGATCTTGGGGAAGGTCTGGTCTGTGTGGCCAGGTCAGGGAAGTGAGGATCTGAGTCTCTATAGGGAGGGGTCTTTGCACAAACTGTTTCCAGGACATGGTGGGTGAGGGAGGGGGTTCCTGGACCCTCAGATCACCTTCGACACCATGAAGAGGGCTCTGGCCCCGCTCGCACGTGGAAAGACAAAGCACAGGGGCTCGGGAGTGAGATCAGGCTCTGGGTGGGTGGACAAAAGTCCGCAGCCGCCACTCAGAAGTCATGGTTCACGTCTCTAGGTGATTGTGTTTTAAATCATCTCCTTGCATGATGGGATGGCCACGCTTGGCCCCACGTGGGTAAAGACTCTATAGTGTTTTTACTCATCTGTTCCCGCTCCACCAGGACACCCACCCAGAACAGGAGAGAGGGGACACTCAGACCCTGACTGGAGGCAATCCCAGCTTCTTAGCTGCTCAGGTGGGTGCTTCATCCTGGGAGCCTGTCCAGTCACTTTTACTGCAGCAACACCCACCAGATGGAGAGAGGGGGTGTGACCTAGTGCCTGGGCTCCATCGCCCCTAGGATGGAAGCCCCCATACCTGGAGACCCCACAGGCTCAACTGGGCCCCTCTCAGCCCCAAGAGGAGGGGGCTGGTGCACAGCGTGAGGGTGGGGGACCCTCTGGAGGGGAACGCCAGCTCTAGCCTCAGGGAGAACAGACTTGAGCTGCTGGGGTCTGTCTATTGGTCCCCGTCTCCCTCTCTTGCTCCCCCTCAAACCCTCACTTCACCTCCTGTGTCCCTCTCCCCCCTCGCTCTGCTTCTGTCTGTCTCTCTTCATGTCTCTGTCCATTTCTCTCTGTGTCTTAGTCTCTCTGTCTCTAGAGCTCTTCTCCCCTCTCCACCATCCAATCCTCCTCTCTCTTGAAGACAAGTCCGCTATTTCTCGTTTCTCAGAGTTACGCCTCCGCGCCGCCAGCACTGGGTCTTCTGCACGTCCTGATTTAATTATGCAAAGCCCCATTTCCTCCCCCAGATCTCCCAGGCTCGACCTCCGATGGGCTGGCAGGTGAGCTTTCCCGGTTCCTTCCTGCGCCACCAAGGCAAACGTGGACTGGATATCGGCGCTGAGTTCTCCTCTCTGGGACGTGCCCCTGCAACACCTCTCCATCCCAGGTGAGGCCCTGCAGGCTCAGCTCGGCGGGGATGCAGCTTCGAGACCGTCCGAGTGTGGGAAGCCTCAGTGCTAAACATGCACCCAGGCAGGCACTCTCAGGCACACTGAACACACACACACACACACCAAACACACACACCCCCCAAACACACATGCACAGACACTGCACACACATACATACACACACCAGCACCTTCCCTTCTCTGTCCACTTTATCCTATTCAATCCAGAAGGTATGTGAACCTCCGAGAGTCTGCCTTGAGGACACATGCCAGCCACCCTGGGGGGGGGGGGGGTTTGTGCTTTCTCAGCCACTCTGTCCTACTCCTGGGGACCCCTCACCTTTCCACCCACCTTTTCCATCAGAGCTTGTGCTGCACCTTCTGCACTTGAGCCTGGACGGCCCAGAGTTTAAGGTGTCCACCTCTCCCCAAACAACTCAATAAATGGTACTGAACTATCTAATTAAAATGAGAAACCTTTGACTCCAGCCAGTTTGGTTGCAAAAAGTGCTGCAAAGCTCCGCCATGGGCGGGCATCTTGACTTGGGGATGACCAGTGGTGACCAGGCAGGCGGGTACTTCCAGGGTGACACAGCAGTGCTCAGGCCATCACAGGGGCGGCCACCGGACACTGTGGCTTGGGAGGGGAGGGTCCCTGCCGGACAGCACCACCCTGCTCACCTCCTCAAGGTGCAAACATGCCCCATTCTCCACCAGCACTCCTCTGGCCTCACGCACACCGGGAACTGACCTGGCTCTGTGACCCTGGGCACTGCCCGCTGGGAATGCACATGGACAGTTGGACAAACAGGAAGTGCTGTTTTCTATGGAAGGCAGCTTTCGACTCTTTCTCACCCTCTCGACAGCTGTGGGGTTCTATGCCGGCCACTGCACCACCCCTGGGAAGAGGGTCCCCCACACGGCCCTTCCCTTGAGGGTATGGAGCAGACAGGGAACCGTGGACCCAGTCTCTCAGCCTTTCCGGGTGCTTCCCCGTGGGGAAGGCTGTGGGGGCCACAGCTGCCTCCCACAAGGAGGCAGCTTCTGTGTCTTCAGGCCTCCTCCATCCCCAGAGGGGCCCTTGGCCCCTCTCCTTCCTGTACCCCTTGCATAATAACTATGATGCCTCTCCCCCAAGCCCAGGCACCACTCATCTCTTCTGCCTTTGTAAATTGGCCTGTTCTGGACATCTCTTATAAATGGACACGTAAAATGTGTCCTTCTGTGTCTCTTCTCTCACTGATCATTGTGTGTTCAAGGTCCATCCACGATGTAGGGTGTGTCAGAACGTCACTCCTTTCCATGGTGAGTCATACACCACTGTGTGCATGGACCACATGCTGCTGACCCACCCATCCATCCATCCATCCATCAACCCACACACCCATCCACCCACTCACCTATCCATCCACTCATCCATCCATCTAACCACCATCCCATCCATCCATAAATCCACCTATCCATCATGCATCCATCCATCCACTGACCAATCCATCATCCACCCATCCACCGATCCAACCCACTGGCCCATCCATTGTCCACCCTCCTTCTATCCATCCATCCACCCACCATCCATCCATTCATCCATCCACTTGTCTATCCACCCATCCATTCACTCTTCCGTAACATCATCAAATCAAATTATATTATGAACTTGTAAATCCTCCTTCCCAGCCCTTGACCCTGAGAATAAATAAGAAGAAAAAAGAGAGAGAGAGAGAGAGAGAGAGAGAGGGAAATAAAGCTAGTCTAAACCTATGTTCAGAGACGGAAGGGAAAGATTTCTGGATTGTACCCAGGTGACCACTAAAGTGTGAACCTCTCCACACTGTCTCTGAAGCAGATCACAAAATAAATGAAACCACACATGACCCACAACACTGGAGTCATAAAGAGCCTAAAAACACTATGAATAACTTCAAAGTACTTGTAACTAGAGAGGGTCTGTCTGTGCTCAGTTGTGTCCGACTCTTTGCAACAACATGGACTATACCCACCAGGCTCCTCTGTCCATGGGATTCTCCAGGCAAGAATAATGGAGTGTGTTGTCATTCCCTTCCCAGGGGATCTTCCTAACCCAGTGATCACCCCTGCATCTTTTATGTCTCTTGCTTTGGCACACAGGGTCTTTGCCACAAGCACCACCTGGGAAACAACAAACCATAAAATCAAAGTGGTCTTAAGCCTTTCCTGTCTAAAAACAGGATTCCTTAAATAAATTGCTCTTCACTTTCTCACATCTGCAGAGACCCCATTTCAAGATAAGATTCAGTTCCCAGGTCTCAGTGGATATGACTTTCGGGACTCACCCGTGCCCTGCAGCACTATAGCTGTGCGTCCTGAAGGAGGCTTGGGGGCACAGAAGACAGGCTTCGGGGGTGATGTGTTTCCCGCCTTGTTTGCCTGCAGGGAGTCACGACACGATGACATACTGCCTGAACAAGAAGTCACCCATCTCTCACAAGGAGTCAAGGCTGCTGAGCTTCGGGGCAAAGTGCTGCTATGTCACCCTGCCCGTGGTGCTCAAGTGGTCCACCACCCAGGTGAGGATCTGCAGGCACGTCCAGGCCCTGGCCCCAGTTCCAGCTGCTGGTGTCACCCACAGGGGGCAGTGTCCTTATCCCTATTGGGGAAACGGGATTGAGAACAAACCTGCTGTAAAGCAGAATTGTTGTTTAGTCGCTCAGTCATGTCTGACTCATTGCGACCCCATGGATGTAGTCCGCCAGGCTTCTCTCTCCATGGGGTTCTCCAGGCAAGAATACTGCAGTGGGTTGCCATGCCCTCCTCCAGGAGATCTTCCCCACCAAGACAGCCTCCCAGAAAGGTAGGAAAGGACACGGCTTTACTGTGGAACCAGCCCAAAGCTGGAAGTGGGACCTGGGGACTAAGAGCATCACTGTCTGAAGTCACAGAGGCTGGAGAAGCTGGGGGGGGGGGGAGGGGAAGGCTGGGTCCCACCCTTTGTGCAGCTGAGCTGACACCAGAGCTCCTTCCTGGTCCCATATAAGCAATAGTTGAGTTCCCATGTCCTCTGAGGTGGGTTTGTGTTTGCACCCCGGCACCGCCTCCAGGGAGACTTTCTTGGTGGCTCAGACAGTAAAGAATCAGCCTGCAATGCAGGGGACCCGGATTCGATCCCTGGGCCAGGAAGATGCCCTGGAGGAGAAAATGGCACCCCACTGTAGTATTCTCACCTGGGAAATGCTATGGACAGAGGAGCCTGGCAGGCTACAGTCCATGGGGTCACAGAGAGTCGAGAGGACTGAAGCACTCACACCCCTCCCCTGTAGTGCTTCTCCTGAGTGGATCGGGGATTTTATGGGGTAGAGAGAAGTCGGGGTGGGAAGCAGTCATTGTGGAGGATGTAGAGGAATCAATGCTGGGGGCCCTGTCTGTGGGGAGGGGGCACCCAACTGACAGTGGTCCTGTCACTGGCACACATTAGCCAGGGTTTGGATGCTGGACTGGGTAAAGAACCCACCTGGACCCAGGTGCCCACAGGAGCAGGGACCCACCTGGAGAGGACAGATGGCCCCTGCCTTCCTATACCGCACTTGAAGGGCACTCACATTCCTTGTTTGTCTGCTCCCAGGCTGGTCCTCCCAAGAGGACAAGAGGCTGTCAAGCACAGCTCTTGCCTTGTGTAATTGCTTCCTCCTGGGAGATCTCCAGTTGCTGGAATCCTCCTCAGGGGATCTGATTGGAAGAGAGCCAGAGCTGGAATGCGGACAAACCTCATTCCTGCTTGCATCAGGTGCCTGCAGCCTGGCCTTAAGAACTCACACCCAGAGGAGGGAGCAAGCAGGAAGGGGTCCACCAGAGCCCAGGAGTCCTACAGGACTGAGGTCCCTCTGTTCTATGTCCCTCCAGGGCAGGGTCCCTCCATCCTGGGGGGCCTCAGTGCCAGGATCTCAAGTGGTATGGCTACCAAGGAGAACTGGGGTGTGTGCGCGGGATGGGGGGCATGGGTGGTGGTCTTTAAGGGGTGTTGAAGGTCAGTGGCTGCAGCAGCACTTAATTTAATCCTAGTAGAGGTGGATGGCATGTGCCTGTATGTAGCTGACAATATTCATATAAGTCTTTGCTTTTTCTTTTAATTTGGATTGGGGGGGCGTGACTTCCTTTCCCATTTTTATATCCTCATTTATTTTTTGTTTTTCCATTATGACTCTGTTTAGAGAACACAGTACCATTTTCTGCTACTAGTTTATGTTAATATTAGTTTTTGCTTTTTCTTTTATTTTGGATAGAGGAAATCTATTAATTTTCTTTCCCTTTTTTTATCCTTATTTTTTTTTTTTTTCCGTTATGACTCCTTGTAGAGGACACAGTACATTTTCTGCTACGAATTTATATTAGGGCTTCCCTGGTGGGGCTCACTTGGTAAAGAATCTGCTTGCGATGCAGGAGACATGGGTTCAATTCCTGGGTTGGAAAGATCTCCTGGAAAAGAGAATGGCAACCTACTCCAGTAATCTTGCCTGGATAATTCCATGGACAGAGGAGTCTGGTGGGCTACAGTTGATGGGATTGAAAAAAGTTGGAAACAACTGAGCAACTTTCACTTTTCAGTTTATGTTAGTTATTTTTTGCTTTTTCCTGTCCTATTTGTGTGGTGGACAGATGTTTCTTCCCTTCATTCTCCCTGCTTGATTCCTTCTTGCCTTTTCTAGTACTGTTTGTGGGGGTGGGCACAGACCTCTGTGGGTCTTGTGTGTCCTCATGTCCAAGGGTCCAGCTTGGGTGTTTGGAGCCTGGGCTGGTGAACCCACAGGGCGCTTCCACCCAGGGACTGCCTGAGAGGAGGGTGAGGCTGGACTCTGCAGGAACACCCCCCCAAGACCACAATCTGGACCCGGGCTGTGTGCTCCATGTGGCCAGTGACCCTGGAGACCCTGTTCCCAGAAGCAGGGCCTCAACCCCGGCAGCACCAACACTTTTGATTTCACAGTGGACGATGTGGCCCTCATTGGGCATCCTCAGTGCATGCCCAGCCCCTGAGCGGGGGGCCACCCTCTGTGCCCAGCACAGGTGACCGACTTCTGTGTGCAGGTACTGAGCATCACGAAGCAGCTGGATGCCGACGTGAGGACCTGCGGATGGCGCACACAGAGGAGGGCACCGAGGGGAACCTGCACTCTGGCCACATGGTGTACACGACGGCCCTGGTGGAGGTGGGGGCGGGGGCAGGGGGTATGGACGGGGGTCCGCCAGCCAGGGACACTCACGTCTGGTCCAGGCAGGACGGGGAGGGCCTCTGAGGGGATGGGCATACGTCCACTCAGACAGACACACGTCCACTAAGATGGACACACGGTCATTCCAGGCAAGAGAGGCTGACCTTTAAGGGGACAACACAGGTCCACTCCTGTTAGAAGACACTGATCTCTAAGGGGATGGACACACCCCTCCAGGCAGGAGAGGGCTGACCTCTGGCATCAGTCACTCAGAATTCCAGACCAACGTGCATTTCTGAACTCACACCTCTACCCCTAGCCTCTGGGGTGTCTCCCAGAATTTGACTAAACCAGGTCCCTGACATGTCTTTTCCTGTGTCCAGTTTTGGGGTGTCCAGTCCATTCTCTTGGCTGCTGGCCAAGTCACTTAAGGTTTCACTCTGGCCTCGGCCCCCAGTGCCCCCACCACAGAACCTAATGACCCTTGGAGGTTCCGGCCTGGGCCTCACTGTGAATGTACCCTGCTGGCCGCCCACGCTCCCTGGAGTACAGACTTCACACAGTATTATAAGCACTGCTCTCTGCTGCTGTGCACACACACACACATGCATATCTGTGCACACACAGACCCTGAACACATGCACACATGTGTGTGCACCTGTACCTACAGGAGCGTGTACATACACACACAGAAACACACACACACACAGAAACACACACACACACACCAGAGTAAAGCCACGGCTCCCCACTGCCACTCAGGAGAGGCTGGGTCCCTTGGGAGCAGGCACCATGCTTTCTGTCTTTGTGTGTCAGGACCCCCCAACCCATCTGTAGAGGGGCTGTGCTGGGGGAAGTCCCCACTCACGCCCCTCTGTCTCTCACTACAAGGCCCTTCTCCTCCACCCCCACCCAGGACATGCTCACGGAGATCTCGGAGTGGCTGGAGAACCACCCCCGGGAGGTGGTCATCCTGGCATGCAGGAACTTCGAGTACATGATGGAGGACCCATGCAAGTACCTGATGGGCTGCATCAAGAACATCTTTGGGGACATGCTGTGTCCCCATGGGGTGATTAGGGGCCACAGGCTCCCCATGCTCTCTGTAGCAGGGGCGCTGGGAACACTAGGCTTCACTGTAATCAGACTATCTGCTGGCTTCATGAGGCTGATTCAGGCACCAGATGATGCTGCTCACAGAACTCGAGTAATCCACCCACCACTGTCTCCACTCAAACACCCCAAAAATCTACCAATCACTGCTCAAGACACCCCAATAACCCACCCATCACCATCTCCACTCAGACACTCCAGTAATCTACCCACCAGGGTCTATTCAGACACGCCAATAATCCACCATGACTGCCTCTTCTCACAGAGAACCCAGTAACCAGCCCATCACTGCTCATAAACACCACAATAATCCACACATCACTGTAGCTTCTCAGACACCCCCAATAACTGACACATTGTGTCACAAAGCAGTCCAGTAACCCCTGTGCACATGTCTCATGGGCACCCAGATGATTCCCACCCAGGAGGTGCTGACTCTGTGCCAGCTGTGGTCACAGGGCCAGCAGGTCATCCTGCGGTACAAGGACGAGGCATCCATGAGTCAGCATGCAGAACTGTGGCCCTGTATCCCCTACTGGTGGGGGAACCAGGTGAAGCACCTAGACCTCGTCCACTACCTGGAGCACATGAAGAGCTGCAGCCACCCAAGTGAGTGCCACCTTCACACTGGGACACCTGATCACATGCATGTCCTAGCACATGCGGCTGGCTTTGGGTTCAAGTGGAGAAATGAAACAGGACGTATTAGGGGACATTATCCTGTTCACCACATGGGCGTGGGCATCCTTGGGGACATCACTCTGTCCACCACAGGGGGTCAGGATGTAGACAGGGCGTGAACATCCGTGCAGACATTACTGTGTCCACCACATAGGGTCAGGATGTGGACATCTTTGGGGTCACTGTCCAGCCCACCTGCCCTCTGTAACAGGAGAAATTCATGAGTCAAGAATCCTGTGAGCCCCTGCTGCCTGAACTTTGGCCTCTGCTGGACATCTGAATCTCTGACCACGGAGGAGGCCAGAGTCTGGGTGGGTGATGGCACAGCTTGGTGACTGTGTGGGCAGGTGACCCCATGGGTTAAGGGTCAGATGGGTGGGTGACTGCGTGGGTGGTTGACCCCATGGTTTACTGGTCACATGAGCAGGAGACTGCATGGGTTAGTGATTGCAGGGGTGGGTGACCATGTGGGTGGGTGACTGTGGGCGGGTGACCAGTTTGAGTTGCTGACTGCCAGGGTGGGTTACCATGTGAGTTGATGACCGCACGGGTGGTAACTGTGTGAGTTGATGACCACGTGAGTGGGTAACAGTGTGATTGGGTAATCATATGGACAGGTGACCGCATGACCTCGCAGGTTAGTGACCCCGTGGGTAGGTGAACATGTGGCTTGGTGGTCGGGTGGGATAGTGACCCTATGGGTGGGTGACCACGTGAATTGGTGGCCATGTGGAGGGATCACCACATGGGGTAATGACCCCATGGTCAGGTGACCATGTGAGTCAGTGAGCACATGGGTTGGTTGGCCACATGACTCCGTGGGTTAGTGACCGCACACATGGGTGGCTGACCCCATAGCCTGCACCAGGAACAGCAGCCCCTCTCTTGTCCCAGGCAGGCTGTTCCTGGCCGGCATCAACCTCACAGAGAACCTGGAGTTTATCCTCATCCACCCAGCCTGGTCCCTGGAGAACGTGACTCTGCAGGGGCTCCCCTACCTTTGCGTGTGGGTGAGGGGCCAGTGCCCAGGGTCGGCCGCCGGATGCACCAACATCGTCGCGGGCGGCTTCATCCCGGCTGATGAGTTTGTTGGCGACGTCAATGGGTGGAGCCGGAAGCTCCTTGGGGCTGAGGGACAGCGCATGTGTAGAGCTGGGCATCGCGGAGGGCGCTCCTCTTTCGCATCTTGTGACGTCACTGGGCTGAACCGGAAGCTACTTGGGACTGATGGATGGCACGTGGGTGGAGCTGGGTATCACGGAGGCTGTGTCTCAGTCGCGTCCTGTGACGTCACGGTCCTAAACTGGAAGCCACCTGGGTGCTGACAGATGGCGTGCTGAGGAGCTGAGCATCGCGGAGGCTGTTCTCAGCCCTGTCCTGCGGGGCTGATCATTCGTCCACCCATCCACTGAATGTGGGTGACTGCAGAGGTGGGGCCAGGTCGCAGGGTCCATGGTCTCCTCGGTCCTCCGTGTGTCTCTCGGCAAATGCAGGGTGTGAGGTGATGATTAAAGGTGAGTGCATGATTTGTACAATGACAGCCTCAGGGAGACACACCTGGTTCTCAGTTCTGTGGCTTCCCCATGGCTGGGGTGCCCCCTTCCCCTGGGCACTGAGAGAAGCAGACAGTGATTCCCAGCTGGGGAGGGGAGGAAGCACTATGACAGAGTGTCCATAGGAGGGGACTGGGCACTTTGCGATCCCACTGAGAAATCCCTTTTATTAGATAAGGGGCTTCCCTGGTGACTCACCTACGAAGGCCTTCTTATCTCTCCTTACTATTCTTTGGAACTCTGCATTCCTGTGGCTACATCTTTCCGTGTATCCTTTTCCTTTCTCTTCTCTTCTCATCTATTTGTAAGGCCTCCTCAGACAACCACTTTGCCGGTTTGCATTTCTTTTTCTTGTGGATGGTTTTGATCACCACCTCCTGTACAATGTCAGGAACCTCCATCCATAGGTCTTCTGGTGCCCTGTGTGCCAGGCCTAACCCTTGAGTCTGTTTGTCCCTTCCAATGTATACTCACAAGGGATTTGAATAAAGTAAAGAAACAGAGGAAAACAATAGAATGAGAAAGACTAGAGATCTCTTCAAGAAAGAGATGCCAAGGGAACATTTCATGCAAAGACAGGCACAATAAAGGACAGAAATGTTATAGGCCTAACTAAAGCAGAATAGATTAAGAAGAGGTAGCAAGAATACACAGAAGAACTGTAAAAAAAAAAAAAAAATCTTAATAACCTGGATAACCACGATGGTGTGATCACTCACCTAGAGCCAGACATCCTGGAGTGCAAAGTCAAGTGCGTGTTAGGAAGCAGCAGTAGGAACAAAGCTAGTGGAGGTGATTGAGTTCCAGTTGAGCTATTTCAAATCCTAAAAGATGGTGCTGCTAAAGTGCTGTGCTCAAAACACCAGCCAGTTTGGAAAACTTGGCAGTGGCCACAGGACTGGAAAAGGTCGGTTTTCATTTCAATCCCAAAGAAGGGCAATGCCAAACAATGTTCAAACTACCACAAGGCTGCACTCATTTCACATGCTAGCAAGGTAATGCTCAACATCCTTCAAGCTAGGCTTCAACAGTATGTGACCTGAGAACCTCACAGACCCCACATTCAAACAGTTGATTCTAAATGCACAGTGATACCACAAAGATGGTCAAGGTAAAGACACACAATGATTTGATTTATGTCTAAATCAGTGAAACAAAATATTCACTGCAAGGTACAAACTTTTTTAGCTTGAAAAATCTTATATTTGAATATCCTGCTGAAATTGAAAAATATGTTTTAAAGTGAAATTCATTCTTAATTGTCAGTTATTTTGAGACTATGGAAAAAGAAAATAAAATTATGCTCATTGGGGCTGCTTCTGTTCAGTTCAGTCGCTCAGTCATGTACAGCTCTTTTCACTGGGGGCTGCTTAAACTTTCACAGATGTTTTTTCTTAAAATTTCCCTTACAGTTTTACAGTATTAACTAGATATAAAATGATCAATAGATTTTATACTATGTATGTTTTCTTGACATTTTTATTTCCTTTAATTTATGAATGTAACTAGAATGTTGTTATGTTGAGTGAGTATTAAAAATTACTCCTTTCTCTTGTGTGAAACACAGTTTACACTACCGTTGGGAGACATTTTATTGCCTAAAACCTTTTATAATTCAACTCTACTATCTAGGTTTTTTGTTTGTTTTGCTTTGTTTAGGCTGAGAATTTTTTCATCTATTTCTTATATCTTCAGAGTTTCTGTTAGGCATATGTGTCTGCTGTTGTTTACTTGCACAATCATGTCCAACTCTTTGCCACCCCAAGCCCACCAGTCTCCTCTGTTCACAGGGAATCTCCAGGCAAGAATACTGGAGTGGGTTGCCATGCTCTCCTGCAAGGGATCTTCCTGACCCAGAGATGGAATTCGCATCTGCTACAGCTCTTGCATTGCAGGTGGATTCTTTACTGCTGAGCGAAAATAGATCTTGTATACATGAAACCCACTTTATTTATGAAGATTCATAATGAGTGAAAAGCAAAGATGGAGAAACCCAAACAAGCATTTATCTTTTACCAATTAATAATAAGAAAAAAGCCCTTCATTTCAATTTGCCTTCGTTTATTTTTTCAATTAATTTTTCATTGAAGGATAATTGCTTTCCAGAATTTTGTTGTTTTCTGTCAAACTTCAACATAACAGTCTTTCTTAACTCAGTTTCTCTTCAATATCATCTTATTCTGTGTAAATAACTTCTTTTAACATTTCTGACAGACAAAGTATCTGCTAAGAATGAATTCCCCAATGTTTTGTTCGTATGAGAATATCTCCTTCTCCTTTGTTTTTGAAGGATAATATTCTTGGACATAGAACTTAATTTCAGTAGTTTTTTTTTTTAAAAAAAAAACAGCATTTTTATTTATTGGCATGTTGTACCTGTACCATTTATTTACCAGTTAAGCTGTATAATTCACTGATTTGTAACTTATTCATAGGTTGAATAACCATAATTACTGCCTCATTCTAGAATATTTCCATCACTACAATGAGAAACACTCTCCAGTTGGCAGACACTTTCCATTTACCCTTTCATCTGGGCCCTTGCATTCACTCCTCTGTTTTCAGCCTTTAGAGAATTACCTAATCTGAGACATAAGCAATCACATGAACAGAATAATGCAATGCACAGCCTTTTGCTCCTGGCTTCTTTTAATTAACATAATCATTTCAGAGCTCTAGCATGTTATAGCTTATATAAGAACTCCATTGATTTGATGGCCAAATAATTTTGCATTGCATGTTTTATTTATTTGATTACCAGTTGATGGACTTTGAGTTATTTCAACTTTTTTTCCTTTTTTTAGTTTATTTCTTGTTAAACTTTATTTATTTTTAATTTAACAATTTAAAAATTTTAAATTTAATGGCTTTCTCTGCATCCATTTAGGTTATCATGTGATTTTTAGCTTTCCTTTGGTTAATATGGTCTGTCACATTGATTGATTTGCAAATATTGAAGCATCCTTACATCCGTCGAACAAACCCAACTTGATCATGGTTTTTGATGTGTTGTTGAATTCTGTTTGCTAAAATTTTGCTGAGGAGTTTTTGCATCTATGTTCATCAGTGATGTTGGCCTGTAGTTTTCTTATTTGGTCTTGTCTTTGTATGGTTTTGGTATCAGGTGATGGTAGCCTCATAAGTGTTCCTTCTTCTGCAAATTTTTGGAAGAGTTTTAGAAGGATAGGCATTTGCTCATCTAGAATTCACCTGTGAAGCCATCTGGTCCTGGGCTTTTGTCTTTTGGGAATTTTTTGATCACAGCTTCGATTTGGAGCTTGTAATTGGGTGGTTCCTAATTTCTATTTCTTCCTGCTTCAGTCTTGGAAGATTGAGCTATTCTAAGCATCTGTCCATTTCTCCCAGGTTATCCATTTTGTTGCCATAGAGTTGTTCATAATAGCCTCTTATAATCCTTTGTATTTCTGCATTTTCTTTTGTAACCTCTCCTTTTTCATTTCTAAGTTTGTTGATTTGATTCTTCTTTTCTTCTTGATGAGTCTGGCTAAAGGTTTGTCAGTTTTGTTTATCTTCTCAAGAAACCAGCTTTTAGTTTTATTAATCTTTATTTTTATTTCTTTGATTTCTTTTTCATTTATTTCTGCTCAGATCTTTATGATTTCTTTCCATCTACTAATTTTTGCTCATTTTTTTGTTCTTAATTATCAGCTGTTTTAGGAGTCAATTGAGGTTGTCTATTCGATGGTTTTCTTGTTTCTTGAGTTAGGATTGCATTGCTATAAACTTCCCTCTTAGAACTGCTTTTCCTACATCACATATGTTTTAAGTTATTATGTTTTCATTGTCATTTTTTTCTAGAAAATTTTTGATTTCCATTTTGATTTCATCAGTAACCTGTTGGTTATTTAGAAACATCTTGTTTAATCTCCATGTGTTTGTGTTTCTTACGAGTTTTTTTCTTGTAATTGATATCTAGTCTCATAATGTTGTGGTCAGAGAAGATGCTTGATATGATTTCAATTTTGTTAATTTTACTGAGGTTTGATATGGGACCCAAGATGTGGTCTATCCTGGAGAGTGTTCCATGTGCACTTGAGAAGAAGGTGTATTCTTTTGCATTTGGATGGCATGTCCTGAAGATATCAATGAGATTCATCTCATCTCATGTATCATTTAAGGCATGTGTTTCTGTATTATTTTTCTGTTTTGATGATCTGTCCATTGGTGTGAGTGGGGTGTTAAAGTCTCCTATGATTGTTTTACTCTCAATTTCTCTTTTAATGTCTGTTAGTGTTTGGCTTCGGAGAAGGCAATGGCAACCCACTCCAGGACTCTTGCCTGGAAAATCCCATGGATGGTGGAGCCTGGTGGGCTGTAGTACATGGGGTCGCTATGAGTCGGACGTGACTGAGCGACTTCACTTTCACTTTTCACTTTCATGCATTGGAAAAGGAAATGGCAACCCACTCCAGTGTTCTTGCCTGGAGAATTCCAGGGACAGTGGAGCCTGGTGGGCTGCTGTCTATGGGGTCGCACAGAGTCAGACACAATTGAATCGACTTAGCAGCAGCAGCAGCAGCAGTGTTTGGCTTATGTGTTGAGGTGCTCCTATGTTGGGGGCATAGATATTTAAAATTGCTATGTCTTTGGCTTGTACTGATCCCTTCATCACTATGTAGTGTCCTTCCTTATCTCTTGTAATCTTCTTTAGCTTAAGGTCTGATATGAGGATTGCTATTCCATCTTTCTTTTGATTCCCATTTGCATAGCATATACTTTTCCATCCTCTCATTTTCAGTCTATATGTGTCT